AGATAGTATGCATTTTTCTTGCGATGAAAACATGAAAAGCATAAAAGGTAATTTACACTGGTAATTTATCGATAAGCAACACTGGGGTAATTACTGGTAATACGGAAACGTTATGGTAATGTTACCACCATTCAAACAATCCCAAGTAACACAAGATATTCCAGCAACGTTTAGGAAATGTTGATGAACAATGTTGTATCTATGTGTAAATGTCCAAAACGTCAATGTTGCTCAAATGTTGCAAAGGAAAATTGCAATTACGTTGCAAATCGCTACTTATTCATTACATATACGTTGCAGATACGTTTCAGGATTTATGTTGCTACAATGTTGATTAAAAACGTTGCTTCACGGGCACCTAATCTTGGCAATATTATTGGCATTACGGAGAGGCGTAGGCTTCACTGGTCCTGAACTGGACCGATATTTGACCAATATTAAATTATTTATTTCATCCTTTCGTACCATATACTTTAACTCTCTTTAAAAAATTCTCAACAGGACTAAGCCTGTACTTGTTTTACCCTCACCCATGCATAATACAATATCTGGATCATGTGCAGGCAGGAGACTGTACATTTTTGGAGGTGATCTTCCCCTGGATGTGCTAAATTCCACAATACAGGAAAAGGTCCGACCGCAATGTTCTATGGAGTGTCCACGAGATCAATCCTTCGTTTCCTCAGCTAGTACCCAGAATGAGGATATGAAGTATTGAGATCAGGAGGTGATCTTCCCCTGGATGTGCTAAATTGCACAATACAGGAAAAGGTCCGACAGCAATGTTCTATGGAGTGTCCTCGAGATCAATCCTTCGTTTCCTCAGCTGGTACCCAGAATGAGGATATGAAGTATTGAGATCGCAGACTCTCTACCATCGTTTTTATTGTCCTGTAGGATGAACTCGACGAGTTCTTGGAAAGGGTTCTTTTTGAGGAATATGAGCTTTTTTTATCTTGACCCCATTAATCTGTCTGGAAAATGAGGATAACAGGTGATGAAGTGTCTGTGTTCATTGATTCCTATAATGAGAGCATGTGAGACATATGGCAATGTACTAAACATTCCTGTGCGGGACTATTCCAGGGAAAGGGAGAAGGGCACTTTTGTGTACTGTGAGAAAGCGAGACTTACGTCTCCATCTCGTGGCAAGGAGGACAACTTTACAATTCTCTAAAACTTCTAAGTCCATGTTGTATCAGAATGTTGTCGCTACGTTGTCGATGTCAAGAGTGTCAACATTCTCTCAATGTTGATAGCAAATGTTGCAATGACATTCGTAGAAGTGTCGCAGCAACATTCCAAGTGAAAACATCGAAGCAATGTTTTCTCAATGTTGTACAGCAACTTGCAACATAGAGCAACATAGGCAACATTTCAGAAACGTTTCATCAACATGCTGTGTTACTTGGGCTAGGCCGTACAATGGCCGAACAGGGGAAGTCTGCTCTCAGGCGGCGAATGATTGGGAGATAAAGCAAGTTTTTTTTCCGGTTTCTCCATGGCTCCAAGCAAAAGCTTGCATGAGAAGGTGAAGTTTCGGACGTTCCCAAGGGTCCGAACCTCAAAGGGGTAGAATGGAAGAGTCCTGTCCAAACCGTGGCATGTGTCTGGGGGAGTTAAAAACCTGCAAAGTAATTCAGTCGAAAAAAAAAAAACAACGCATGATTACGAGCAAGTGAATTCTGTTTGCCTCACGATCACGATAAGGGCCTTCGCCGAATCTCCGTACAAGTAACGACTCACGAAATAGTCGTGAGTCCCACGTGAATCACGCGTAAAGCGGGACTCACGCACACCTCTACTCCTAATGCCTCTCGAGGGTCTAGTTGAGAGTGAAGAGCAAGTCCGTGAATTAACGGAATAAAATTCCTGGGAGACCAATTGCGGTAGTATAGGCGGTAAACACTGTCTTTCATGACCATCACTACTCAACTGAATGGGAGGATGGAAGGCAGAACAGACAGAAGCAAGCATCACATGCGGACGGACATTTCGAGTAGATTGACATTAACTCATGCATTTGATGCATGAGACAGAGCGTATCGTGCAGACCGACCATCAGAAAGACGAAACCTTTTACGGAATATCAACATCTGCTCCGAACTGTTCCAAAAGTTTGAGCTTAGTTCCTGACAACGGCGGATAGGTTCAGGAAGACGCCATCGATATCCACGAAACCTTTCATTTCTCAGATCTCTTATTATTTTCCTGGAACGATAAGCCTAGAGTGGATGGAAAAAGTGGGGGGACACGGGAGGGCACGGGGGGCACGAACTCTGGGATGGTGTTATCATGCACTTCATGAGTCTTTTCCTTCTTTTCTGGGTTTCTTTTTTTGAAAAGGTGAGGATGAGGGGGGGGGGGGGGGGACGAACCCCACCTGTCCCCCCTTCACTGTGCCGCGGCTTGGTACTATGAATTTTTGTGAGGGCAGAGCCAATTTCAGATTAGTCAACTATCGCTATACCGCCACTAGATATAGCGCCACGTTCGATTATCGCCAACCTCTTCTTGCGGACAAATCTCTCCATAGGCCTTTATAATACACGTGACCCAGAACCTAAAAATTAATTATAAATGAATGAGGAACGGTACAGTGACGAGGTTAGTCTTGTTTGGAAGCTGTAGTAACACTTTTTGAATGCCCAAAAAGTCGATGACATGATATAGAAATTACAGTCACAAATAAGGACTCAATCCATTCCAGATGCATTTCCAATTTTTTAAAAATAATGTTTGTGTTTGTCACTGAAACATCGAAAGTTCAGTGATGTTACAGGAGGTGCTGAAAGTGTCTGCCCATGTAATCAGCAAGGAGGGAAGGCCCCTCAGATTGTCGTTGTACACATTTTCCTTCAGATACCCCCAAAGGAAGAAATCCAATGGTGTCAGGTCAGGTGACCTGGGAGGCCACATTCCTTTGATGATGATGCAATCCCCGAAGAACCTTCCCTCCTTGGAGCGCAACATCACGACTTGCATCGCCAGCATCACAGGGGACCACTCTGAGGCAAGTGTTCCAGAAAATTCGGAAACGCGTGAGTGTGTGCTGATAAAATGGGCCGACACTTTCAGCGCCTTCTGTAACGTCACTGAACTTTGTGCCGAACTCAGTGCCGAACACAAACATAATTTTCAGAAAAATTGGAAATGCATCTGGAATGGATTGAGTGTTGTGACTGTAATTGTGATTTGTGACTGTAATTTCTATCTCATGTCATACATTTTTTGTGCATTCAAAAAGTGTTACTACAGCTTCTAAACAAGACTAGCCTCGTCATCGTACCTTCCCCCATTCATTTATAATAAATTTTAGGTTCTGGGTCGCGAGACTTTTGGGACACCCTGTAGTTAACTCGATTTAGCGCCACCCTCGTTATAGCGCTAAATTCGGTGAAGACCACCATTGGCGCTATATCGAGGGTTCACTGGAATATTTGACAACTTGAATCGTTTTCAATTACGAGTGTAGATAATTGCTAAGTTTCACCTGATGCGACGAATTCGTTTCGCCAACGTGTTTCTGAGCCTTTTCGATGGACTTTTTCCAGTTCTGAAGCTGTCTGTCACTCACACTTCATCCGAACGACCGGCACCGCCACTGGCTGGATGGAAATGTTGGTAAACGAAACAAAATGCAGCATCTACTTTGATGCTGTATTCGAGCCTTTGGTACCGGCAAAACCAAGAGGCGTTGAAGTTGGGAACTTGGAGACCGACAATGGAGCATGGAAAATTTTCCAATCGAGGTTGTCTTGGCTCACTACTGTATTGCGGTCTCCCAGGTCACTGGGCCTGGTGAGCCTTGCTCTCTTGGTACATGGAGTGATGGTCTCGGAACAATCAATAGAGCCAGGAGTTGAGGTTTCATGAGATCAATAATAGAGAGAAGAGGCACCACGTTTGACTAAATACGCGAGCATTTAAGCATTGCGCGATGCTTAAAATTTCCCTCCGCAAAGAATCTTCATTGTTCATTACTCAGGACAAGGAATATTTGATCATTTGGGCCATCAGCGCGAAAATTCACCAACATTAACTTATTCTAGGCGCCATATGTTACACGCCCGAATCATATCCCTACTCAATAACAAACTAGGCCCTCGAACGCGATTTGCAAGGACATGTAGAGCTCTTAGTTTCACCAAGGCACCTTTCTCGTTTGTCTCATGAATCAGATTAAAGTCATGGGATCTTGATCCAGCTGCGTAGCGTCGGGGGTGGGAGGGACACGTGCTCCCCCACTTATCAAGAAAATAAGAAAAAAAAAAGAAGGAAAAGACCCAGAAATGCATAAAAGTATCCCAGAGTTCATGTGACCACTCACTTTTCCCATCTACACCACGTGTATACTCTGATCATTTGGAGGTGGAAGGGAGGCGCGTCTCCTAAGAATTTTACGAAGTTTCCCCCATTCCAAGAAATACCGAAGATCAGTGAACTAGATTTACCCTTCTCCCTCGCCGCTTCCCACCCATTCCCTACTGATGCCCTGGAGAAAGATAGGGAGATAATGAGAGAGAGAGAGAGAGAGAGAGAGAGAGATGGATTTAAAGCCGGGTGAGTCTTGAACGAACGATTTGCGAACACACTCCTAAACAAAAGTTCCAACTTCCCCCCCCCCTCTCGCAATGCTATTGTGAACAGGCCAGAACAAACGTGACGTAGTGGGATGCTGGAAGCGTAATCAGAGCCAGCAGAGTCGCTTAGAAGAAAGACCCACTCAGTTTTTTGGAAGTCGGCGCTTATGTTCTGGGAGAATTCAGGAACCCTCCGCTCTCATTCTTGTAGAGGCACTTGTGAATAGTACCATTCCTGAAGACTCTCTTTGAGCAACCTCGGAGAATAGCCCACTTCTCTCCGCAAGAGGCAAACAAAAAAAATCGGAGAGTTTTTGGCGAAGCCCACGTATCTTGAGGAGCGCTTTTCTGCGAAAACGACAAAAACCCGAATCGTAGGGCCCCTTGAGGGCTCTACTGTAACGTTTGCAAATACGTCCTCTGCTCCACGGATAGGGACATCATGGCCGCTCGCATTGTCTCCGCATGATTTCGTTTAGCCTATTATTTAGACATCGCCTCTCTCACCAGTTCGAAGGCTGCTTGGTATCACAAGAAACAGCGAGACTGATGTGAAACATTATAGGTGATGAGCATACATTGAAAAGGGAGGTGAGTGGCCGGTGGAATAAATCTGTTTAGCTGAGGACGAAAACATATATATTTTAAACACAAGAAATGCATTTTCACTCTTCCCTTCCCAACAAAAATGCGTGAACCTGACGAGGATACTGAACCTACAGAGGAACCGTCTCCTTCCACATCATCTACGGTTCCTCCTCTTTCAGATCTCTTCAATCAGTGCAGGTTGGTTGGTTGTCTCCATCGAATATATTGCCATAGTAAAGTCGCCATCATCAACCTTAACGTCTCTGCATCGTCTCGTTCAAAGCATCCTTGAGTTGGAAAGATTTTTATATCACCAGAAAGAGGAAGAACAGAAAAGAGGCAAAGAAGAACAAGTTCTGTTGTTGCCCATTTCAATGGACTTGCATAGAAAAATAATGCAATGAAGGAAAAGTCAAATCCCTGGTCATGGAGATAAAATCATGATTCTCCTAATTAATTTCCTGATGAGAGTATATAATTCTGTCCTTAAATTAAAAAGGATTACAGGATCAGTGTAGAGCTTGTGCATAGATAGGATTAAAGTTCTGGCAGCATCGTGAAACAATAATAATTGCCCTCTTCTATACATTTTTTATAGATGATTTAATGTATCTCTTCTCTATTGCCTTATTTCCATTCCATGACTTGGGGGAAGTGGAACAATAATCAGAATCCATGTAGTGTTGATTTCTCCCACTCCAGTCTGCAGTCAGTTGAATTGGGATAAATAGACACTCATGGTTTGTTGAAAAATGTAAAGGAACTAAGTCCTCCTCCATCACAAATCTGGGTAATTTTAATAGATTTGAGCAATGTGGGAAACTTTGTGATTTAAATGATTACAGGTGTGTGTTAGTGACATGGAAGTATGAGCTGGTGCTTCCTGAGTAATTTGGGGTGTTCCTCTGGGCCTATTAGCCTTGGTAACATTTAATTGAATCAAAATGGATGCATTTCAGTAGCAGTAACTGGAAAAGTGAAGAAAGATGTGAAGATGATGTAGGTGAGAAGTTTTGAGTATCGAGGGGAGGCTCTAAGTTTGCAACAACTTGCAGATTAGAAGTTGCTGAAGATCAACTCATGATCCACTAAATCTTGAGAATTCTCTGTTGTCATTTTGGATTCTCTATAAGTTTAACTTTATTGGTAAACCAGGAAAGCTTATATACTTTCCTATCTTATATACTTTCCTTTGTCCAAGAAAGTTTAATATCTTGGCTCCCTTGCACTGAAATTCTTGGTCATTAAAAAATTTCAAAATTGCCGGCATGCCTTTTTATCTGAACATTGATGATATGGATCAATGCTAGTTGGACTATTCAAATACAATGCTTCATATTCTTAAGAAAAAATAAGCAGCCCCATTACTAAATAAAATACTGGAATTTAAAACTTAATAGCCCAGTAGTGCCCACAAGAGTGGGACTTGTGTGGGATCAAGCTTCCAAAAGCTTAATGAGACTTCAAGCCTCATGAATTGTCAATGGTGATGTAATGCATTGAAAGTCTAATTTCATAATGCCCTCTTTGAAGATTTTTGCTTTTTACTTGAATCTCATCTTTCTCAGCACTTCCAACCATTCACCTGTATCAAGAGAAATGTTCCTCTTCATCCATGGTCATGGAAACCTGACATGGAGTTCCCTTGGCCTTTTCTTAGTATGAGAGCAGTCTGAGGATTTTTAATTACCTATATATATGGAAGAGAACCATGTATTTTGCCCCCCCCCCCCCCCCCCCCCCCCAAATAGTGTCCATACCAATCAACACTTTTATTATTGTTGGTCCTAGACAACCCTGAATAGGCTTTCTAAGTTTTCCCTCTGCAAGCAGCATTCATTTCACAATTCTCCAGGGCCAAAGAAAAAGATTAGTGAATGAAGGGATTTCCCCAGGTTATATTATCACCCTGCACATTCTTGTTGCTCTGCTCATATTCTAGAAGTCAATAAAATATACCTGGAAGTAATTTTGGTACATCATTTTTTCATTTTCTGAAGTTCTTTTGTCTCACATTAACTGCCAATACTGATTCATGGCCCAGTGAATACAAGAGTGTGTAACCCACTGGCATACCTTATAGTGTTAATGTGATATTTCACCCAGTAAACATGCATCTATTTTGTGCAGATGGAGCCTGAGTGCAGAGAGCATCATCTTTGTGATTCTTTACTTCCCAATTGGAGTTGTTTTGAGTGTGATACGAATCTTCATCTGTTTTCACGTCTACATTGCTGCCTGTCTTCTGCCAAGAAATTCCCTTGTCCGGACTGTGGTCCTTCGTTGGATGTGGAGTGTTCTTGGACTTGTCATCAGGAAGGATGATTCTCTTGTGAAGGGGAGTCATTCTCATGACCCACCTCGACTCTATGTTGCTAATAACATCTCATCTTTGGATCCCCTTGTCACCCATCTGGCTATTGATGCATCCTCAGTAATTTCCCATGCTTCCTATCTTAAAGAAAGGCATTACCTTCCAAGTTTTTTTTTAATATCAGGCCACAATTGAAATTGTTTTTAACTTTCCCTCTAGGTGGAGCGTGGCCTCTTTCCCACCTGGTTTTTGTATGCATATGGGTATGGGTATGATCATAAGACCTTTGAAGACAGCACAGCTTCTATTGCCCTATATCCAGAAGGAATCCCAACAAATGGGAAAGTTGGCCTCCTTCAGTAAGGGAAATCTTTGAATTACATTATGGGAAAGGTGTAGGCCTATGCTTGTTGAATTGACTTTTGATAGGACTTCAGATAACCTCTCCTCTATGTAGATTTGTGCAAAGGGGTCCTACAAAGGAGTGGCTCTTGAGTGAAGCAAGCAAACAAGGAATTCAGCCTTTAGCTCTCAGTGTGGAGAGGCTTTTGCCCTTGAGCGTCTCTGTTGTCGGTAGTGCATGGTGGATTGACCTGTATTGGCTGTTCTTCTCACCAGTCACAATCTTTCATATTAAGTAAGACTTGTGTGATTTTCTAAGTATTATTTGATTTTCTGTCTTACTACCATGCTGAAATGGGTTCTTTTGCCCTCTCAGAGTGCTGCCAGTGATTTGGAGAAATCCAGGACAAGGAAAGGCAGAAGAGGGGCTTCTAGAACATACTCGTACTACTATAGCTAAAGCCCTCAATCTTCAACTCACTCCTCATACCCATCATGATTATGTAGAGTGGATGAAACGAAGGACTGTTGGAGAATACCAATCTGTAGTTAACAGCCTGCCTCCTGAGCTGTCATTGGCTGTAATGCGTATCAAGGAGATACTCCCTTCTGTTCCCTTGGCTGTGATTGTCAATGATATTAGTGAGTTGAATGGGGTGAAGCCCTTATCATTTACAATTAATCTGAGTGTCTTATATTGAATTACCTTTTCTCTTTAAGGGAGGACAGGGAGTGCTGATGAAACAATTTCTCATTTGGTTGATGGTACCATCCCATATACTCCTGAGAATATGACATCAAAGCATCCTTCCCCTGCAGTTTCTCAGCTTTCGTCTACTTCTTCCTCAACCTCAATGGTGAAATAAAGTTTTCCATTCATTCAGGTTTGAGGCTTCTCAAGTTCCAGTCAAGCAGAATGAACATCTCATTTATTATATAGGGAGAGAGGAGTGGGGTAAGGGAATCCTTTGGCCGTACACCCAAGATACGTATGCAGTCGTTTGAAGAAAGGAAGAGAGAACTTCTGGAATGTGCCAGGCGAAAGTATATTCAAAAGCATGGACTCAAGTTTCCTCCTTTACAGCTGGAGAGTGAATGAAATCTACCCCTCTTGTCCATCTACAGTATTTAAGGAGCAACGCATCTCTGTCTGCTGTACCAGAAAAGCAGGAAACTGTCCAACATGTTATTTTGCATGTATGGACCAGTGCCTCCCTAGTGTCTCAAGCTTTGAAAGTCATTGGGCTCATTTCTTATATAGCATTTGTAGTAGCTGGTTTAAAATTGTATGTTTTCATCCTGTATGTATCTCTGAAAGGAATACAGGCATACTAACTTTAAAAATGAGAAATAAATAAAAAATTCTATAATAAATGAGAGATATGATGAAAGAGAAATAGAAATTTATCAAAAGAGGCAGACATCTTGGCATTAAAAATCATTCTTCAGTGCCAGGTGTGAGAAACTGTGCCTCTTTCTTCAGAATGAATACCTTTATTTGTTGCTGCCTTGGCTCTCTTGCATTCAGATTTCCCATGAGACTGGAATTATGGTAAAATAAGCCACAGGTAAGTTTGTCAGGTGTAGAAGCACCTGGTCCCAGGAGGAGAGAGTTAAAGTTGTGGTAATTCCCACTTCAATATCCTCACAAAAATGAATGGTTCATTTGAGAGGTCAAGTGTGATGGTAGGTTGGAAGACAGTGCTGCTGAAGCATGTGGACATAAGCAATGATTCTGGATAGTTTTGATTATGACTCAATGGAGAAGATTGTATCAATGACTTTTATCCTCTCCAGCAGACTGGGTGGTTGGTGCACCCAACAAACTAATCTGAACAGGCACAGCTCATTTGAAATGCTTTTAACTTTTCTAGGCTTTCTAATGAGATGACAGTGTGAAAAATGTCATTTCTGGGACAAGATGCTTGCAACATAGTCTGCCCATTTACATACAAGATTTACCTAATAATGAAAGACTCTTTTGAATGGGACTCATCAGGTTATGGAGTAGACTGCATTGTTTGTTTGACAATGTCCACCTATGATCTTGTGCATTTTGTGTGAGGGATAACATTTTCATTCTAGGCACATGGGTGATGTGTGATATTCAGCAGCAGCAGATCATCAATGGAAGTAGGATAGTCCCAGGCCTATCCTGCTTCCATTGATGATCCACTACTGCTGAATATCATGAGCCTCCACTGCCTGGGCACCAGCACTATGCTTGGGCAGAGTTTGCAGTTGGATCCTTGTGATCCTGAATTGAGCGAGTTATTTCCTGATTTTTGTTGAGAAGTGAGGAGTCTTGGAGGTGTGAAATCTCCTGAAAGCAATTATGGTAGGTCCTGAAAGAAGACTTGGAACCAGGAGTAGGTTAGAAATACATGCAGCCATTAAGCACATGCAAGGTTTACTGTGTTGGAATGTTGTGAGAGGACGGTTAAGATTCTGTGAGGTTTTTGTACCATTGTTCAGTGCTGGTGAGTTTTTCAATGTGTTGGAAGACATCTTTCATGGAAAAGGCCTTGTGGTAATCATGTTGGACAAAAGTACCTGAGCGATGCTGTGAATCTTGAAAAAAAAAGAAAAAGGTAGGAGTGGTGAGTAAAGTTTGTGATTTTGTTATGTTTTGGAAAAGTGATTATGGATTGTCCATCTTGTATGCCTAATACAATTGCTAGCACAAGATGTAAGTGACAAAGGCCCACTTGAGGCCCCTTGAATTTGATGAAAGAGAACATGAGTGGGATTGGCCTAGGTTATACACTAGCACCTAGTTGGCTGAATTCCTTAGGTATCACTTTTTGAGTACCTTTGCCTACTGTGGGGAATGTGGACACTCTCATGCCCTTTATGATGGAGAAAATTTCCTAGAGGAAACTCTCTATTCCCCCTATGCCCAGAGTGCAGAATGAATCTGGAACAATTTCTCTGGCATTTTAATAAAATTTCATTCTGATGTCAGTATGTCAAGGAGAGGGAAGAAAGTGAAACATCGTGTTTCACCTGAATGACTGAAACAATTAAGTATATCTCCCTTATCTCTGAATGCAGCAAATATGCAGTAGGGGGGTAACTTGTTAAACATTGAAAAGTTTATCATTGGCTCCATTTTAATGGGGTGGGAGACTAGTGGAAAATAAACTCTGAAAAAAGTTAGGGATATCATAAAATCTCTATGATCTGAGTAAAGACCAAACATTGTTTGAGAATGAACATGTGTGTCTTCATTAGTACTGGTGACACTAGGGCCTTGAATACAGCTCCCTTTTACTTACTTTTCAGGATTTAGATTTTCAGAAGAACCTCCTTACTATTGTAGAGCAACACCTATATTTATAACTTTTTTCTTAGAGTTAACGTGTCGGATAAAAATGCTTTTCTGGATCTGACGCACAAAATTACAGACTTTAGCATTAGAAGTCAATACTTCTAATGAGGTAAGCTGCTACTCTATCAGCTTTTCCTTGTCTTATCTCTTTGATTAACAAAGGCAAGTAGACATAGAATAGGAAAATGGTAACAGCTGTCAATTGAGCAGGAAGCGATAAAAGTTTTATTGGTATAGGGATAGTGTAAATTTCCTATGACCATATGAAGAAGAACATCATCCTCATAATGAGCTACAGCAGATGAGACATAAAGTTGGACACTAATTTTTTTTTTCTCCCCAAGTTCACTATGGGTGTGGAGTGATATGCTTTACAGCTCATGTGGAGATGCCATTCTAGAGTTTGGGGTGAAAATATCTGCTTCCTTATGTTCAAATTTTCTGAGATATCCCAACTTTGTTGAAGCAAGTAAAAATGTACATTTTCCAGGGATGTACTGGGTGATCCAATGGAATATTTTCAAATTCACATGCCTGCAGATGGAACTCCATGCAAGTTGGATATGTACCATGTGTCACATCCAGCTTGTGCAGTTGATAACGTAAGAATTTCAATAAAGTTTGTCATTTAGAACCTGAATAATAGCTTTTTCACAATGTTGCATCAAATGAGTGAGTGTTTCAGTATGAATCCAAGCCTCTTCCTCTGCCTGCTCAGAAAGAAAGCTCATGTTCTCATCAGCCAATTTCATTCAAGTTTTCAAAAAACCCAGACAATGAATTGTAGGTCTTATGTTGATAACTCACATGGTGTTACTGTTGTTGGGATTTTAAGTTGTGAACTTCCTTTTTAGTCACCCAGCATATCCCTGGAGAAAACTGAAATTTTGACTAGTTTCGCAAAAATTTTTAGACATTTCAGAAAAAATTTTGAGTAAGGTGCTGACATTTTCACCCTCTACTTTAGAGTGGTACATGCACATGTGCTGTAAGCACATTGTTCAAATGTCAATATAGACTTGGAGAGGGGAAAGATAGATATCATTTTTAATGCCTCACTTATTTAAAACCTTGAAAATTCTGGAACATTGATTCTGCAGTCTTTTTTTTTTTTTTTTAGAAACCCTGTTATTGGGAATGTACATACAAGGTATTCATGAAGTTGGTTGATGGGTGTATGACATTCTTGAACCAAGACTAAGCACCATAGCTCAAAGTTCTGGAGTGGTATTTGTACATTAACCCTTTCAGACTTGAATTAAGGCCACTTTTGGAATAATACTTTTTTGCATTATTGAGCTCTTTTCCTATTCTACTTAAAATTTTTATGTTCTATATTCAGTTTTATATTTTGTATAAATTTACCATATCATACCATTTGTTATATATTATGCTAGTAATTTTATAACTGAAGATCACAAAACTGACAGGTGAAAGGAGGCCTCCAACAGAATTGAGCCATGCATAATTACATCCATTGTGGTGTAATACAGGGTGCAAAGTCACGAGAATCCTAAGAAATTACCATAGAAACTATGAAAGTGATATGTCCATTGGAATGGATGTGGGGTCTGAAAGGGTAAAAGGGAAAATGTCATGCACAAAAGAAGACAATTGTCCAGGTGCTTCTGGCACAATGTCATTTATATAGTGGGACAAATGCTTAATATGATCTTTACCAAATTCCTAACTACTTCCAATCCAGTGCATGAAATTACAGACCATGACTGTCAGCATGTCCTGGGTAATAGACCACTTCTTCCTTCAGCTTTTGGCAGTGACACTGGATTGCTGAACAGCACCCATGACTCCAGATAGCCACATAATCAAAAGGCTGTTGGGTTGAGATCCTGTGATTGGGGACCACTGAGTAGAAAAATGTCTACTGATGACCATGTCCTGAAAAATGTCAATGAGCCATGTCCTTGCAGGAATTACAATGTGCACCAGTGCCCCATCTTGCATGAATATGGTGTGTTGCACACATTACCATTGCTGCAGGTTAGGGATAGCAGAACATGCAAGATGGTGCATCACAGCACATAGTGGCTAGCTGTTACCAGAATTGAAGAATATCATTTGTCGAGGAGTGCAGCACAGTCTATCACCTGTAACATTGAGATCTGCAGTGGGCAATCATGTTCTTCAGTTAGTTGCGGTTGTGGAGTTTGTTGGGTACCATATGAGCAATACCTGGTGGCCAATAAAAGTCCAGAACTTTACATGTCTACAGATGGAATATGATATGAGTTATCAGCAGGCAATTTACTTGGTGTCACATCCAATATATGTAGGTAATGTCGCAAAAATGTCAATGAAATTGGTTGTTAACTACCAGAGTAACAGTTATTCTCCTGCGCAATGTCAAAAGGGTGAGTGTGTAAAGAGGCGTGACTGACCTCAATTGAAGAGATGTTAGATCAGGTTCTCCATTCTGGTCCATGACTACTTGCAGATGCTGTTTCCATTGGTTGATTCACTTTTTTTTATTGTTTTGTCACAGATAAGAGGCCACGCTTCCTATATTTGAGCCTTCAGTTCATCAAGTCATGTAAATGGGGTGTTGCACCCAACATAAACTGGCTCTTTCAATTTGTCCCATGTTCTATAGTTGAGGGAGTTTAAATCTGGAGAATTGAGAGGCCACTGAATTCCTCGGAAGAAGTCAGGAGTGTCATTCTTCAAATACTCATGATGGTTAAAGTTTGAAGATGTCTTTAGGTTCATAGGACTAAGATGGGATGATTTTTGGGTTTATTATGCTTTCCAGCTTGTAGGGAATACAGTCAGTTGTAATGAAACTTCTCTTTTGAAGGAGAATAGATTTATCATTAATATGCCTGAGATGATTATGGAAACAAATGGAACTGTTCCAAATGGTTGTGAGCCAAAGGATCTTGTGGATGAGTTTGAAGAAGCCTTTCAGGTTTGTTTGGTGTCTTGAACTCTATTTCCCATCTGTCTGAAGAACTCTGCAGCCATTTATTTCATTGCAGAGGTGCCTAGCTTGTCTTGAGAGGGATGGAGACAGGGATGGGATGAATCCTGAAGAGATTCGTCTCAATGTGGAAGAGAACATCATGCGATTCCTGGACATTGGTCGACAGCTTGAGGCTCAGTTCCTTCACAAGCGACTGTTACTCTCAGTCAATCATCCTGATCAAATTCTCAAGGAGGTCAGTTGTTATTGTATGCTTTATAGTGTTTTATTTCCACTTCTGACAGGATTTCATATGCTGTAACATTTCTTTCTTTCTTTAATGAGGTGAAGTGGAAAAAAATGAATCTTTGAGCCCTTATGATCTAATTCAGGACATGGGGGAAGTGAAGGCTGAACTGTCACGTAAAGAAGCTCTCATTCAAAAATATCATGAGAAAATATCAATCTGGCAAAACCTGCTCATTCCACCAAGCCCACAGCAGCCGAATAATCCTGCCCAGGCAACACAAATGACTCCACCCCAGCATCCACTTCAGGTGATGTGCATTTTCACATCCCTTGGTTCTCATGTGCATAATGCCTGACAAATTTAAATTTTGTTTTTATGTTGGGTAGAGTCATGGTATGATGCCTCAGGGTGCAGGGATGGCAAGTTCTTCCCCCATCATGGGTGCTCCAATGCGCTTGCTCAGCCCTGGTACTGCTGGTCCATCCTCTCGTGTCCCCATGTCAATGAATGTTCCTGGTCTCCATGGACCCCTTGCCAACCTGGAAAGAACCACATCCAACATTGGAAGCCTTTGATTGAAAGCTTGAATGAATGAGTGAATAAATGAATGAAGACATTTCTGCACTTGTAAAATGAGTGGTTTGAAAACTAAGACAACTAACTAAGATTAAGTCAGTTTACATGAGAGTAGAGCCTATAGCTTGAAATTATAAGCTCTTAAGTTGAGATCAAATCCATGGTCACCTGCCTGTGCAGGCAAGGAAGCTGGGCATTGTTCCATGTCCTGAGCTCTGTGTAGACCTTCAGAGAAACTTCTGTCAGCTATATGATGTCACATTCTTGTAAAATACTTTTTCCTCCTTAATGTTCCTGTTCTGTTGTTATATTTGGGAATGATAAGTGTGCAAAACAATAGCATGGAATGAAGTTCCAAGTTGGGCATGGAGAGTGAGTTGAGTGACCAGGATCGATTGTCAACCCTTGGATCCACCCATCCCATTGCATACCATGTAGGTCAACCTGAGATGGATCTGGATAAGTGGCTTATCTTCAGCCTCCTTGATAAAGACTTCCTCGTGTCTCTCCGAATGGTCTGTGTATTTGGTGGGTGATTTCCGTTGCTCCTGCATGCTATTAGTTGATTTTGTCTTTGTAATTCCTTCAGTGGTGTCTTGTTATTCTTATGTAGGGACCTTGGGGAATGAGGCAATCATGGTCACAAAGGATGAAGATGTCTATGGGCTTGGGGTGAATCAGTCTGGCTGCCTTGGTATTGGTGATCTGCATTCCACACTGCTGCCACGAAAGATAGAAGCTCTGTCCAAGAAAAGAATTAAAAGTAAATCTCTCTCCATCTGTCCCTCTTTTATCTGCGGTCCAAAATATTAGGATATTTTAGTTGCACACTTCTGGTGATTTAGGAATTTGTCAATTGCATTAAATATTTAGTAAAGATGAGTAATTTAATTTGCATTCCCTCTTTTGGAAAGTATGGAATTCCCATGAACTATCTCATGTGCTGGAACTATCCATCTTGATGTTATGATCAGAGATAGCATGTGGGAGTGGGCCTCACCTCCTTGCTTGCACATATGAGGGGGAGCTCTATTCATGGGGACACAATGGGTACTGTCAGCTTGGGAATGGGTCCTCCAGTCAATGCACTGTGCCCACACTGATCACAAGCAACCTGACAGATAAGAAGGTGGCAGATGTTGCTTGTGGGTCCCATCACTCTATGTGCCTTACTGATGATGGAGAGGTACCCATAATTCTGTTTCTGTCCTTTCTCCATATTCAGGCCTAATTCAAGTTTTCAGATTGCCATCACCTATTTTTGCTTTGCACTGAGGTTTTTACATGGGGACAAAACAATTGTGGGCAGGTGGGACTTGGAACCACAGCAAATCAACCAGCACCTCGTCGTATATCAATCACAACAGGGAAAAAAGCTGTGGCCATTGCCTGTGGACAGACATCATCCATTGCCCTTCTCGAGTCTGGCGAGGTGTGGTTCATTGCTGTATTTTCCTCTGCATTATATGAGACATATGTTGTCATTCTTGGTCTTTGCTATCATTTTCAATACTTTTTGATGTTGTTTCCTTACAGCTATTTGCTTGGGGATACAATGGAAATGGACAGCTGGGTCTTGGTAACAATGCTAATCAGCATCTTCCTTGCAAAGTAACAAACCTTCAAGGTGTCTTCATCTCCCAGGTCCATTTTCCTCTGGTTTTCTTCTTAGTCTCCATGAATATTTCTCACATTTCATCTCCCCAGTTCATTGTTTAGGTGGTATGTGGCTATGCACATACATTGGCTTTGTCTGATGAAGGTGTCTTATATGGCTGGGGGGCCAATAGCTATGGACAGTTGGGTATTGGGAACAAGTCCAATCCTTCAGTTCCAACTCGCATTGCTCCTGAAATTGGAAGGTCTCTTTTTTTCTGATGCTTCTTTGCAACTAGAATGATGATCATGGTCAGTGATAAGATTTTGATCCTTATAGAGTGGTGGAGATAGGTGCTACGCACTACAATCACCTGTCGAGTGCAATGACTCAGGATGCTCATGTGTATATGTGGGGTCAATGCCGGGGTCAGTGTGTTATGATGCCAATTCTCACCCCTTTTCACTCCATCAACTCTGTTTTTGCCACATTTGGAACTCCATGTGTCACATGGACTGCCATCTCATTTGATGTCCAGCCAGTCACTCGAGTACTGGATGCCCTTCGATCTGCATTTGATGAACCAGTTGGTGCATTTTTTAAATGTATTTATATTTAATCTTCCATCAATAATAATGAACCTGTCAACATTTGATGGAGCCAACATTTCACCAGAAATGTTGACCCCATCAAATTGCAATTTTACATAAATTGTTATTTTTCCAGTTGATTGGAATTCTGTGAAATGTATGATAATAGCATACTCTCTGGTGATGAATCACTGCTCCTTCATGATTTGGTCAATAGTATTTGGTGATGAATTAATCAATTACCTTTTCATATCCATTCAAGTTAATATCAATCAGGTCCACTATACTTGGTTGACTAGCCTTCTTAGAGTTCTTCAATATTGAAGTGAAGCCCATTTGCCCTTACATATCAATTATGCTCTATACACTGTTTTCAAGCTTAAATTGTTGAGCTGATTGATATTTGTTGCTGATGAGATACTTTAACTTTCTGCTTAACCCTGTAGCTACATTTTCCTCCTTTCTTCTTACACCCTTCTGCTGAGTTCTTCTTAGATGCATCATGGTTTGAGATACTTGCTAATAAATGAAAGTTCTCATCACATATCTGATAGATGATTACTGAATGCATTTCTGATATCCTGGACAAATCTCTGGTACATATTTGCATGCCCTTTGAGGAGTGAGTTGGGAAGCAAAACCAGAGGATGATAAATTTCTAATAATAAAAAAACATTTTATTTCCTTCCTTTTAGGTTAGGACAAATGATTTTTTAAAATTAAAAACTCATATATTACTTAAATCTTTGCCTTGACAGTCAATCATTTCTCTTCAGTGTTTCATCAGGATGTGACATACATATGCACCCAATGAGCTAAAAAATTTTAAAATTATATATGTGTGCATACTCCTCAAAGGGTTAAAAGAAACTCAATTACAAATTATACAATTGAATTATCTCAATTTCAGGATTGGAGAGGTTTATTGTCTTTTCTGCAGATGCTTTATATTTGAAAGAGGATCTACTCTTATTGTAGTTTCAATTAGTGCTTGTACTCATGTATTAGTTTCAGCTCATTTTATGTCCATCAATTTCATTATTGTCCTGTATAGTATGAGGTGCATTCAAAGATCACTGTGGCACAGCTCCTTAATCTTATCAAGAGCTGCATTGTAATGCCAAGTGCTTAAATAGCTATGTTTATTGTACACCTGTGTGAAATTTCAGCTTTGTATCAAATGTCATTAATTCTTACAAACTTTTTAAATGTATAATTCATTGATGTAAGCAACTGACTAAATGTGGCTAATACATTTCAGTGGAAAAATAAGGGCTGCTTCCCTTGATATTGACACTCCCATTGGGAACTTTGCTTGCTGGAAATGCAGACCATCTATAGACTTCAAACTTCTCATGAATGCCAATAGCATTACTGCTTTTAAATATGAAAAATTTAATGACAAGCCTTTTTACATGGTGTCTCAAAAAAAGTTAGTGCTGCAAGAATTGATTTTTCTTGTATGATATATTTGAATAAAATATTTTGTAGCAGTTAAAATAAGAAGAGATTAAGCTTTCCAGTGCTGAAGATTGCAAAAAGAACTCAGAAGCAAGATATGGAACAATGAAGTTTACGTTAGCAAAATTCATACATGCTAGTAAACTGCTGCAAGTAGCATATATGAGAGATTCCAGCAAGGGAAGCACTCAAAGAAGCTAGTGATCCACGAGTATACTGCCAGGAGACTCTTCACTCTATTGCTGGTTCTTGGACATTTCAGCAAAAAAGCCACAGTATTCATTGAATGAAAGAATCCTCTTGGTGACCCATCTCTCCCAATCTCTAATATCAGACCAGGAACAGCTCAGTCAGGAGTGTAAAATCTTGCTAAGTATCTAAAGGTGTGTTGGCATCAAGGAGCAGCCTTGAACTTGTCCTTTAGTGATGGTCTGTATATTTATTTGAGTCTCTTTTTTCACTGTTTGATATCTTGCTTCAGAAATAGTCCATTTTCATATGGTTTTCAGCAGATGAAAGCTCTATCTCTACTTTTTCTGTGACACAACATTTTAAAATTCAGGTTCAGCATAATACAAGAAAATTTAATTATCATGGTGTCAAATTTTTTTGTTGTTGAGACACTGTACTTCTGAGGTATCATCCATATTTAACCCATTCGCTGGCATGCTGGAGAAATTCTTGTGCCAACTTCCTTTTGTACCTAAAAGTTTGCCAGTGGAGGGGTTAATGATTTGTTTCAACCAACTCTGCCTACTCAGACAGTGAAGTAAATCAATAACATTCAATATGAAGCTCAAATTTCACATAGAATAAGAAGAAACACAGCAAGTAAAGTACTCAGGATTACAATACTGTTCCTAGAAATATGCAACTGCCACAATCATCTGTACATTTTGAACACACCTCAAATCTGTGCTATCTAGGTGGAGATAGGGTGATGTGGAATTACAAAGTAAGGATTACGATGGCTTTTATGGAGAGTTGGAGATGGGAGGCATAAATTGGTGGTTATTTGGCTGCAGTTTGAATGAGGGGTGACTTCAGATTTTACTATTGCTTGGATTAACTTTATTAATCCAGAAATGACTGCATGAACTATTGGATCTTAATCTCTCTATACTGATAATGTTAACTGTTTGATGCTCATTCTGTTTCTGTTCTCTTTTCACAGGAGGGTAGTGATGTGCGATTCATGGTGGAAGGGAAGGTGATCCATGTCCATAAGGCAGTGCTGAAGATTAGGTGTGAACACTTCCGTTCCATGTTTGCCACCCACTGGGAAGGAGACACTAATGAAGTGGAGATTCTCCAGTTTTCTTATAATGTCTACAAGGCCTTCCTTCGCTACTTATACACAGATGAGCTGGATTCAAATCCAGAAGATGCAATTGGGTTATTGGAATTGGCAAATGCTTACTGTGAGTCACAGCTAAAGCTGCAGTGTGAGCGAATCATCAAGCAGGGAATCACAGTAGAGAATGCAGCTATGCTTTATGCTGCTGCCATCAAATACAGTGCTAAGGAATTGGAGGATTTCTGTTTCCGATTCGCATTGAATCACCTGTCAGAGGTTGTGCAAACGGAGGCTTTCCTTCACCTGGATGAGCCCACTGTGAAGAGTTTCATCCTGAAGGCAGCTCTCAGTGGAGCCTTTAGATATTGAAAATGAGTCAAACAAAGCAACTTTTTTCATGTGGGGCTTGAATGTGATTACTTGTGATCTATATCTGGTGATCTACACCTTGCTTTCTCTCTAGGCTGGTTAATGAATATATGGGTTCATCCCAGGATAGCTTTGCTTCGAGTGAAATCCACAACCTATGCATGGAACTAGTCCAAGTTGAGTCCTTCAGTCATCAATTGGCTTCCAGTGAAATTCCGTTCCTCTCAATATTTTTTATCTATGTGAGCTTGCACCATTGTTTACAGTGATTTAATTTCTCCTGGATTTCATGTTTTCTGGTCATGTAAATATAATGAACATTTTGAACATATCTTCCCTACCCACCTTGGCGCCGAATGCAGTGGCCAGCAGCCGTAGCATGCAGACTAGATTAGAATGAGACGAAAGGAGTGGCGTATTTTAAGGGGAAGTGGGGGGGGGGGGGGGGGGGGCGGCCCCTGCTGAGGGGGGGGGGGGGGGGGGGGGGGGCGGGGGGGGGGGGGGGGGGGGGGGGGGGGGGGGGGGGCCGCCCTTCCTTGGAAACCTTCAGCATTTGGCACCCCCTTTGAAGTATTTTATTTTTTTACACTCAAAGAACTCTGATGCTGACGTTGGCATGCGCACCTCCGAGTCCTTTCATTTACCGGTACGTAAGAAATTCGCACAAATGTCTGTGATTCAAGGAAAAATATTTAAGTTTTCACAGTCACAGTTCCTGCGCTCCCCCTGTTCTCTTTCTAGTATACATGTGTATTCTGTTAATATAAGCGATTTTCAATTGGTGAGGCAATCAAATCCCCCCCCCCCCCTTGCCGGGGACTGAGGAGCTAAATAATTAGCAAACATTGATGCGAGTGAAGGAAAAAGTGCGATACCAAAGATAACGAGAAACTGCTTACGAGCTCCCCTCCTGCTTGTTTTTCGATGAAGTGGGGCGCAATAAAGTACAGTCGACCTCGGTTATAGCGTCATCGAAGGGACCAGGGAAAAATCGTCGTTATAACCGAGGTTGCCTTTATTGACATTCCGTTTTCCTGCTTTCAAAATTGATGCTATATAACGTTACAACTCCAGTTTACATTGGTCATACTACACTAGCTTCCCAGGTCTGTCGAAATGGCATCGACGAAGCCTTACAAAAATATCCAAGGTCCAAAGAAGTGCGAACATCACGATTAGTGGGTCAATGTTGAAACTGAAGCTAGTGTAGTATGACCAATGTAAACTGGAGTTGTAACGTTATATAGCATCAATTTTGAAAGCAGGAAAACGGAATGTCAATAAAGGCAACCTCGGTTATAACGACGATTTTTCCCTGGTCCCTTCGATGACGCTATAACCGAGGTCGACTGTACTTTATTGCGCCCCACTTCATCGAAAAACAAGCAGGAGGGGAGCTCGTAAGCAGTTTCTCGTTATCTTTGGTATCGCACTTTTTCCTTCACTCGCATCAATGTTTGCTAATTATTTAGCTCCTCAGTCCCCGGCAAGGGGGGGGGGGGGATTTGATTGCCTCACCAATTGAAAATCGCTTATATTAACAGAATACACATGTATACTAGAAAGAGAACAGGGGGAGCGCAGGAACTGTGACTGTGAAAACTTAAATATTTTTCCTTGAATCACAGACATTTGTGCGAATTTCTTACGTACCGGTAAATGAAAGGACTCGGAGGTGCGCATGCCAACGTCAGCATCAGAGTTCTTTGAGTGTAAAAAAATAAAATACTTCAAAGGNGGCCATTCATCGAAGGCACCTCATTTTTGGAATCGGCCTGAAGTCGTAAGGTTGGAGGTCCAAGGAATACAAAGAATGTGGGAGCAATGGCACTCCAAGATTGGTTAGAAATTCAACCTTTCACGGAATCTCTTGTGTCATGCACACCAGAATTAGGATTACTTTGGCCTCAGGGGAACGGCCTCCAAATAATGGCTTGGCAGCGAAAGTGTTAAATGTGGTGCAAAACGAAAAGGTTGAAAACTGCAGACTTATCAAGAAATACCTCCAGTAAGTAGGACACAGAACCTAGAAACTGTTGAAAATTATTTTTAAAATGTATTTAACGTGGACTGAGACAAACATACAGACAGGGACGAATGCCACAAGCAGCTGCACTTGGCTTAGTAGGGGAAAGGGGATCCTCGAACATCCCTGACGGTATGCCACAACTTCTTACGCTTCCTGTCTTAATGAATTTTGTTTTCACGGGCCCGGAGAAGGTGAGGCAACTTGAATGCCGCTCTGGCCTGAAGCCCTCCATCGTTCGCTGCACATCGGACTGCCATGGTCAATGTGATGGGTGCTATTGAAACGCACCAAAGTAGTTGTGAGAAATAGAGGACCTCTCACACAATGGAGTAAAGAGTGGCCCAGAGAGCCACGGTAGAACTGTTCAATTTTGCCTTTTTGCGATGCAAAAAAAAATCCCGCATGGAGATAGATTACTCTATTTGAAGCTGTCATTTCCTCTCGCAACTCCTTACATTGGGGTGAATGAATTTTAAAGATGCTTAATAAGATGAATATAAATTTAAATTGTGCATCCGTGCACCATATGAAAGGAAAATGTACTTGCATTGAAGGAAAGCAAAAATGCTGAAGTTGCAGTACGCTAGCATTGAAAGTATGGAACCTTAAGGTATGTACAGTACAAGGCGGACCAAGAGTAGCTCACCCTTTTTCATTTGATTGCTTTGTACATACTAATGAAGACGTACTCATACAATTTGAAGGGCAAATGGTAAAACTCTTCCCCAATATAATGCAACTTATGAAAATATGATAAGCAGGTCTTGCATAGTAATTTCTTTTTGGAGCAATGTAAAAAGTCGCAGTTGCGGACGCATAATTACGCCAACATGCCAAGCAAACATATATATATATATATATCTCCCATAGCTCGGACAATCTCTGTCAGGTTTCGGTTCGGGAGCGGGGTTCCTTCCCCCATGCCTAGATCGGTCTGGGTGGGACTGGCACCA